TCCGGGACAACACGGCGACCGCTGCGTACATCAACCGACAAGGTGGTCTGCGCTCCCGTCGCATATCGCAACTCGCCCGCCACCTCCTTTGGAGTCACGTCCCGTCACCACAGCTCCTGTACCACCGCTGAGCGGCCGGGTCACCGGCTCGGCTCCTCAGCGAAAACCTGAATATGCGCTGCATCTGCTGCCTACTTATACTCACGCTGTGATCAGCAGCAGCTGGATGCAGTAATCGCATGCCAATGTGCATTGGCTCGTTTAGTTTACACTCGAAGTAGATTGGTCTCTCTAAGCGAGATCCCAATTCGTCGGTCATCCGACGTGACGTCTCCGTTCCCTCCTTCAGGGAACGAGGGTTACCATACGTAACCGAGACATTTTCTTATCAAACATTAATATTCATTGCACATTTTCAGCATGGAATTTTAAAAACAACCATTCACCTGATTTTTTTTCTTCTCTTTCATTAAATTTGGTTATACCATGGACTTTTTTATTGTTTTTATTGCCTTTTTTATTTTGTCTTATTGGAGTTTTGGTTTAAAACTGAAACTGAGAACTTTGCCGACTATGTTGTATTTGATACTAAAATAAATAAATACAAAACAAATATGCATAAAAAAATAAATAAAACTACAAAAGCTACATAAATAAATCATATTTAGTGACACATATGAATCACACTGTTAAAAAAGTATACATTAATAAATAATACTTAAAATGGATCCAAATGTTGTTTCATCTTGATTTTAAATGCATAGGAAGTTCAATGACTCACAGGAAATAGGACGAGGACAAAATTAAAAACGTTTTAACTAAGCATGAGATTAGAAGGTAGAGAGTTGCATACCCTTGAAAGAGATAATGTAATTGTGTTTTTTCTGCATTTATTTAAGCTGGCCTTGTGTTGTTTGGGTTGATGTGAAAATATGATGATTCATTACTGTGAATTCAAAATTTTAGCCTTTAAATGTCATCTCTCTCTCTATTTTAGGGTGATGCTAGCAGATCAGACACTGATGACATGTCGTCTGACTATGGTGATGAGGACAAACTGAGAGAACTACTGAATTCAGGTGTGTGTGTGTGTGTGCATTTGTTTGTGCACAGCTTTTTTTATGTGTTTTGTTATTTTATGCTAATCTCTTGTTGATATTAGGATCAGAGATGAAAATGCAGACATTAATGCCCATCTCCAATGGACATCTGGAACCTCGAGCATCCATGCCACCTCACAACACACACATACAGCTCAACGCCACACCCAGAACTGAGGTGTCACACATCTATAGCCAATCACGGCGCAACAGCAACACCTCCACCGAGCCCCATGACCAAAGATCCCTGGTGAGGAGTAAATGCCATTACAAGTAAACCTACACAAAGAGTAATACATAAACAAACATTTAAATTGATATTTAGATCTATATTCATATTAGAATTACAGCTTTTAAGGCTTTTCACACCAAATATAAATATACATTGTACATTTTCAGCATGACATTTCGAAAGCAAACATTCACCTGAAGATTTTTTTTTCTTCTTCATTAAAGTGGTTTTTACCATGGCCTCTTACTGTTTTTATTGCCTTTTATATTTTGAGCTTTTGGAGTTTTGTTTTAATATTGATATGCTCCATTATATTTGATATGAAATTAAATAAATACCTAACCAAATATGCATAAATTAATAATTAAAAATACAAAAGTTATGTAAATAAATGTGTAAATCATTTAATCATATATATGAATCCAACTATTCGGAATTTGTGTGTGTGTGTGTGTGTGTGTGTGTGTGTGTGTGTACCCAAATATCTATAAATTAATAAATGAAACTACGAAAGCTTTGGAACATTTTTTTAAAACATAGTTAATCACATATATGTATCAGACTATTTTAAAAGAAGTATAAATTATATAAATACCTGGACATTTCTGGTATGATCAGTTGCCCTTATCATATGCCCTTATCAATATAATATAATATAATTCATTTTTTTCTTTTACTGATTCCTTTTACTGATACTATTTGATAGACATCCATAACAGCAGGAATAATTAATATAATTTAATTTAATTTTAGGTTAAATTATTTTTTGAATTATTAACCATCAAATTCAGTCATCCCAAATGATCTTAATTGTCATATCTAAGTGGTTACAAATTGTCCATGTCCCTCTCACTGCTGTATATATGTCAACTTACTTATTTCTTTTTTAATTTGTTCTATCATAGTACACCACTTGTTGCATGCCGTGATAATCAGCTACAGTTTGTGTGTCTGTTGTAGTCCAGCCTTTGGGGAAGTCGCCGCTCCAGCTGGAACAGCCTTGGCCACACCCCCAGTCTAATGAGACGCACTCAGTCAGGGGAGCGTGAGTCGTTGCTTTCTGGAGCAGGACAGGACAGCATGGATGACAGCCAATCAGAAGATGGGAAATCCAGGACTGGCAGTCTGGGCGGAGTTTCATGTCTAGGGTCATTTGATTTTCCAGAGCTCCTCCAGGTTCCACGCCCATATTTGGAGTGTAATGGCAGATTAGATGGAGGGTATCCATCCTCTCCAAACATTACACGTCCTGATCCACCATCCACACAGGGGGCGGATGATGATGAATTTGAGGAGGTGGAAACTTGTCTTTAATCATTTTTTATTATTGATTATACTAATATATCAGTCACACAGATAAAATATTCTTGGCATTGTTAAATATTGCAAATATTAAGTGTTTTCTTTAGAAAATACACATCTTATTTGGTATTATATTTCATTTAGAGCTGGTGTCTGATTGCGAAGAGACTGTTGGAGCCGTATAAACCCCAGTGGTGTAGAGACCATGAGGATTGGTCACTTTACTTATTTTCCCCCCAAAATAAGTGAGTGCAAACACAGCAGACCAGCTAAATACACACATATACACATCTAATGAATGCTGTGCTTGCACATTTTTATGCTGTTCACACATCTTTTTCTCTTGTTCTCTGCAGGTTCCGAATGCACTGTCAGAAGGTCATCACTCATAAGATGTTTGATCATATTGTGCTGTTCTTCATCTTCCTTAACTGCATCACAATCGCTCTAGAGAGACCTGACATCCAGGCTGACAGCATGGTGAACACAACCACAACACCTATTCTAGCACTATCATCGAGCTTTATTATATATGCATACTACTAGGGGTGTAATGGTATACGTATTCGTATTGAAAATACGATTTCGGTTTGGTAAGCATGTGTACCGAACAAATACAGCATTGTTTTAACCACTGCACGAGTGGAACTTCATTGGAAACTTTCAGTTATATTGTTTCTTTTGATAAGACACAAAGTCTTATCTTTCAAATTATGTCATTTTTTCAGGAAATTCAAACAATAAATGCCGATTTGACGCTCTTTGATGTGGCGCAATCATCCCTTCCTCTTTACTACTAGTTATAATGTGAAATAAACATGAATGAGCATCTCACACCTGATGTAATCGCTCAATCAGTGTTTCAACTGCGGAAAGACGTCATTAAAACATCTTGTAAGCAAAATGTCATGTAGCATTTTATTTACCTCAGGCAAGTCATCAGTGTCCACAGCTTGTAAAATGACTCCCTATAGTTTAGAGCAGGGGTCACCAAATTTGGTTCTGGAGGGCCACTGTCCTGCAGAGTTTAGCTCCAACTTGCCTCAACACACCTGTCTGGATGTTTCAAGTATACCTATTAAGACCTTGATTAGCTGGTTCAGGTGTGTTTAATTAGGGTTGGAGCTAAACTCTGCAGGACACCGGACCTCCAGGACCGAGTTTGGTGACCCCTGGTTTAGAGCATAAGCTGAGGTAGATTTTTAACCCTAAGAAAATGTTAATTATAATTACATTTATTTAAAGAGAGCAATTTGTTCAGTAAACCACTGTTTAATAAAAAAACAAAACAATTTATGTTTAGTTTTCCCCTGCTGTACCGAAACCGTACCGAACCGTGACTTTAAAACAGAGGTACGTACTGAACCGCCATGTTTGTGCACCGTTACACCCCTACATACTACTGTTCAAATGTTTGGGGTCGGTAAGATCTTTTAATGTTTTTGAAAGAAGTCTGTTATGCTCACCATTTATTTGATCAAATATACAGTAAAATCAGTAATATTCCTGTGATGGTAAAACTGAATTTTCAGCATAATTTCTCCAGTCTTCAGTGTCACATGATCTAGAGCTGCACGATTAATAGTTAAAAGATCGCGATCTCGATTCAGACAACCACACGATCTCATTTCTAAATGACAACGATTCTCCCGTGTTTATTAAACCTTTGACAAAGTCTTACCACATCATTCAAATCTGCGTTCGCACTGCCGCTGACACAGAGAGAGCAGTTACCATGTTTGGTTAAGAAACAGCTTCACAAACAGTCTTTTCAACTACACAGTATTATTTCTGTCATACAGTCATTCATATTATCACAGAAATACTGGGATGAAAGTTTATAATTCATATATAAACATTGATGTCTATGGTAGCGTGACCAAAATAGAGCAAATCCGCGTTTGAAAGTAACTGCCACATAACGTTTGTGTCGATTGCATTGTTTCGCCACTAAGGTGGCGGAAGGTGACTTAAAAAATGTTTAGTTGAATGAATCATTTATTCAAGAGAATCGTTCAAAAACGCTGATTCATCCAGTAGGTTTATGATCCAGTAGGTCGTTGAATCATTGATTCAAACAACTTTTTCATAATTTTAATATTAAATTGAAGTATTAAATATATTATATTTTAAATACATATACACTACCAGTCAAAAGTTTTTGAACTGTAATATTTTTAATGTTTTTTTTTTAAAGAAGTCTCTTCTGCTCACCAAGCCTGCATTTATTTGATCCAAAGTACAGCAAAAACAGTAAAA